GGAAGATGGGTGGAGGGATCTTGAGGATGCCAGGCGAGTTGCTCACCTTCTGGAAGTGCGGGGCGGCTGACAAACACTGGGGCTATACTGCCACCGTGGGGCAGCACAGGAAACTGCAGCTGACTTTCCGCGGGGTTTCCGAGGGTCATTTTGCTTAAGTAGTGGTCCCAGGTCCATTTAGGGGCTTGGGTGCTTGTTACACTTGCAGACACAGGGGACCCATCGCCGCAGGCTGCCTGAGCTAGAATCCAGGGAAGGGATCTGGGAATCTGCATTGAAACACACCTCCTGGGCCATTCTAATTCGTAGAATCACCTAGTTTCTCGGTGGCCTAATTTGTACAATTCAGGGCAAATCCAGAGCCTCTTGTTTAGAAATTATTAAGAATTTCAAGGAACACCCGGGTGGTTCAGTCAGTTAAGTGTCTGACTTGGGATCAGGTCATGATCTTGCAGTTTGTGAATTTGAGCTCCACATTGGACTCTCTGCTGTCAGCACAGAGCCTGCTTTTCAGATCCTCTGTCTCCCTCTCTCTGCTCCTCCCCTGCTCTCTCTGTCTGTCTCTCTCAACAATAAACATTTAAAAAACTTGTAAAAAAGAATCTCAAGACAGTCACAGCAGAGGATTAAGTATGACCACAGGCTGCGTGCCTGTGCCACGGGCCCTGTTCCTAAGCCCCCCGGATCCGTATGGACGCTGAGGCAGCGACCGCCACTGTTAGTATGTCTTGAGTCCTGGCTCCCTACGACACGGCGGGTGAGACCACGTCTCTGGAGGTGAGGCAGTCTTTGAACAGAATTTGGACTCTACTACTTACAACTTATGAGACTTTGGACGCATTCCTAACCGCTGAGCTGTATTTATTTCCCTTTTAAATATTGGGATAATTTCCTTGTCAAAATTTGCTTTGAGAACATAAGATCATTTCTGTCGCATAATAAGTGTTGCCTATGTGTAGTTAGTACCACACTCTCGGCTCGGGGTTTGGGTTTTCGGATGCGAAGATGAAATAGATTATGGCCTCTGTCCTGAAGGGTTGACACTGTAGTGGACAGAAAGAGCCGCGGAAGTCTATGTGTCCCTGCGTGGGACAGAGGTGTGCCCGGGTGCACTTAGGAGGAATATCTATGTCCCACAGGAGGTAGGAATTTCGGGGAAAGACGTGGTGAGTGTGTGTGTGTGTGTGTGTGTGTGTGTGTGTGTGTGTGTGTGCGCGCGCGCGCGCGGGGGGAGGTTCAGGCAGAGAACAGCATGAGGTACGTGGGAGCTTGAGGCTCCCTGTGGTAGAGAGAGGGTGTCAGTAAAGGAACAGCTGGAGAGGAAGTCAGAGGAGAGCTCATCAGAAAGGATTTGGGGGGTTCTTGCTGAGGGATTTCAGCTTTGGACTGAAAGGAAAGCATTTAAGCAGAGGGTGGGCATGACAGGACGGGTGCTTTTTCTTTTTCTTTTTCTTTTTAATATTTTTTTAATTTATTTCTAGGAGAGAGAGAGACAGCGTGAGCAGGGGAGGGTCAGAGAGAGAGGGAGTCACAGACTGAAACAGGCTCCAGGCTCTGAGCTGGCAGTCAGCACAGAGCCCGACGCGGGGCTCGAACCCACGAACCGCGAGATCATGACCTAAGCGAAAGTCGGACACCCAACCGACTAAGCCACCCAGGCGCCCCAGGACGGGTGCTTTTTCTGTTTGTTTTAAATTTTTTATTACAGAGAGAGAGAGAGAGAGAGAAGAGTGCAGGGGAGAGGGGCGGAGGAAAAGAGAGAGAGAGAGAGAGAGAACAGACTTCAGGCTCAGCGTGGAGCTTGATGTGGGGGTTTGATGTCATGACCTTGGGATCCCGACTTGAGCCGAAATCAAGAGTTGGATGCTCAACTGACCGAGCCACCCAGGTGCCACGGGATCTGTTTTAGAAAGTGAACTCCAACTGTGATATCTTCCAGGGAGGACACAGAAGAGGCTGGGAGGTCCTGGCAGGAGGAAATGGCAGTGACCCAGGTGAGAAATGAGCGTGATTTGGACTAGACAGGGAGGGGGAGAGCAGGGTCAGACATGAGGGTTTTCTTTTCTTTTTTTCTTTAACATATTTTTTTAAATGTTTATTTATTTATTTTGAGGGAGGGAGAGAGAGAGAGCCCGAGTGGGGACAGGCAGAGAGACAGGGAGAGGGAATCCCAAGCAGGCTGTCCGCACTGTCAGAGCAGAGCCCGACACAGGGCTTGAATCCATGAGCTGCAAGATCATGACCTGAACCAAAATCAAGAGTTGGATGCTCGTGTGACTGAGGCACCCAGATGCCCCAGATTTGAGAGTTTTCGAAGAGATGGCTGATTCCTGGGATCTGGGAACTTGCTGGAGGTAGAAGATGAGGAGTCAGCAATGACACTGGGGGTCAGGCTATGGCAACCGGGTAGATGGCGGTACCATTCTCTGGAATGGCAACGAGGAAGAGAAGAAGGATTTGGGGAAGAGGAGAGGATGCTTTGGGGGGAAGGTGATGAGTTCAAATTTTGTTCTTGTTTTTGAATGTGCAGTTTGTAAGGTGTAAGGTTAAAATAAGATAGGCAAGGTACCTGAGCATACAGGGTGAATTTAGTTCTGAGCACCCTGAAGTGGGGTTTCTGTGGGACACTGGGTGGAGAAGACACTCTTGACTTCCCCTCACCCTCGTTCTGACATCCAGTTCATGAACAACACCCATCGGTTCTATCCTCGAGGTACTATTCCTCTGTGCCCCTTTCGCTCCTTTGCTGTCACCTACACAGCAGGAGAGGGGTGGTCGAAGGGGAAGGGTGAGAATAGCAAGTGCGAAGGGCAGAGGAAGGGGGCTGTCTTTTGGAAGCAAGAGGAAGGGTTCAGGAGGGAGGGGAATGGGGAGATGGCTTTCTGGCTAAGTCCACGGGGGTTTGGATGGGAAGGTAGGACATTCTCACAGGCGGGTCTTGCTTTTCTCTGATGGGGAGAAACATGAAAGGGTGTTGTAGACACGAGGGAGTGTGGGAGGGAGGCGCATCTAGCAGGTTTTCCAGGCAGGATTTGGAGGTTGGGGATTGCTTGGTGAGGCCAGCCCACACTGTGGTGGGACCTTCTCCATCAGGGCTCAGCAGGGCTGAACGGAAGTGCCAGTGTTGGCTGGTGAGGCTTCTCCAGGGCAGGTGGGATCCAGAAAAGCAGAGGCAACAGTGGAGCCCTGGGTCTAGTCTCTTTAGGGAAGGAGGCAAAGGCGGAGAGGCCGGATGGCTTGGAAAATAGAATGGGGAGACCAAAGACTCATTCTCTCGTAAGATGCTGATGTTGCAGCCCCCACCTGTTTCCTCACTGTGATACAGAGTACGAGTGGAGTGGGAGAGTGGGGTGTTCGGATCCTCCGTCTGGAACCCTTCAGGGTCCTGAGGCTCAGAGTGTGCCTTCTGAGCGTTGAGCGTTTAGAGGAGAGATTGTTGAAGTCAACAGCATAGCGAGCAGAGTCTGTCTCTGGAAGCGTGGCCATGGGCCAGCACAGCAGGCTGGCGGGGAGTGCGGCGTATGACTGGGCTCCGGGCGCCCGCCCAGCCCTACTGGGTCACAAGGACCCCATGAGTGTCCAATCACTGGGGTGCTGTGGGGGTTGTCCCAATGACCCCTGAATCCTGCAGGTCAGGGTGGGGCGGGGCAAGGACTGGAACAGCCAGGAGCCAGAATCCTAGGTGACCTTGTGGGTGAGCAGGAAGTTCACACATGAGGGTTGTCAGGGCAGGGGGGAGGCCCGAGGGCAGCAGTGGAGCCTGGTGGAGGGAGGAGCAGTGGGGAGAAGAGTCCTGGTTCATATACCCCCACCCCCCAGCAGCAAGGGGGCAACAGTAGGGTGAGCCACTGACAAGGGAGAGGCCAGGCGACAGTCCTGGGGCAGGGAGTACCATGTGGCTGGACCAGCACAGCCTTCCTGAACTCTCCCTGGGCTCCCTCATCAACCCCCCTGCAAAGGGAAGTGAATAGATGCTCCATCCCTCTCTGCACGCCCTAGCTCATCTAGCAGAGGCAGAGCCGCAGTCTTTGCCTTTGCTGCTGGGCGCTGTCTGAACAACCTCACGGCTGAAGAGTCTCAGGGAGGAGAGTTTCAGTGACCCTTCAGAAGGATGCATGTCCAATGCCAGGCCAACCCCTTCGCCAGGCGGGGATGTTCCCAATTACTCCACGGACCACATGGCTCAGATGGGGGAGGGGTTACCGGGCTTCGGGCTGGGCAGAGTGGGGATGCCACCAACTCTACGAGTTGTGCCCAAGGACCAGGTAGCCCTTGGGCGCAGTCAGCGGGACGCATAAAGGGCAGTGTGCTCCTGTGCACCCCGTGCACCCCACACATGAAGGGCGGGCATGGACACCCCACACATGAAGGGCGGGCATGGACATTGGGAAGAAGGGGCCCGGGAGAAAGCAAAGGCAGATAGTGGGACAATGTATGAACTGTGCTCTTTCAACGGCTGTAAGGTTAAAATCTGGCTTGCTTGCCGTTTTATGGCTTTCTTCTTCACTGGGGGCTGGGCAGGAGCGGGAGGCAGGGTTCACGCTGGCCAGAGGTTCCCAGGAGTTAAGAGCCTACACGAGGCACTAGAATCAGCGACTGAGGAACATTCTAGAAATGCCTTCCTGAAAATCCTCTCCAAGGAGAAGGGCCCCATCATTTGCTAAAGGGTAGATTAAGGCCACTTTACTTAATAGCAGGGGCTGAGATTACATGATGATAATAACATAAAAACAGTAGTTGAGCGCCCATTGACTAATTGCTGCTCTAAGCATGTTGTGTCCATTAACTCATTGGAATATTTTGGACGGATGGAAAAGGGGGCACCCAGGTGTGGATGGGGGGCTGGGGCTGGGGGCTCCTCTGTGGAGGGAGCAGGCCCCTCAGCCTTGCCCCTGCCTGGCCCTTTCTCCTTGCCCTGTGGAACGTGGCCTGAGGGGACCCCTGTGTGTCTCTCACCCTTCATCTGCCTCCCTGGGCCCTCGGAGGACGCTGACGCAGGCTAACTGAATGCATAACTTTATTAAATAAATGCTTTGTCATGACAAAAGACAAAGATCAAGGAGTAACATAAATTATAAGTTGAATAAATAGTATACAGCAATCTTCACTTTTTTTTAATAAAACGTGAGATCCTCTGGCTTTTTGTTTTTGTTTTTGTTTTTTATTTCCTCAGGTACAAAATGCTAAACAGGAGGCGAGCCCCTCAGCATTCAGGTGATTTTTTTCCCGCTTTTTTTTTTTCCCCACAAACTGGTTTTATTTGTCGATTTATCTTTTCATCCTTTTCACCAGTAAAGATTATGAGCATTTATTTAAAAAAAAAAGTTGAAAACAAAACAAAAGGAGACAGAGAGTTACGGTATGTATGTACGTAAAACTACGAAGAGCTACTGTAATATGTGCTGTGGTTATTGCTGTCTTAAAAAAAGAAAAGAGAAATAAAAACCGGTAGGCAACTCGGAATCTGAAGGAATCTTGTCTGACAACTGTCTATCCATGTGGGCTACTGTGCGGTGGTGGAGGTGGTGGTGGCGGGAGATTTGGGACTCAGGCTGGTGGCCGGGGACCAGGGAGGTAGGTGGGGGGCAGTGTGCCAGGCGCAGGCGGCTGGCCTTCCCCACCTTCCCTTTCCCCATTGGAGAGGGGGCCAGAGTCTGTGAAAATGGCTAACCTATATACTCCATTAGAAAACCAAGAAAGTAGGTTTAAAAAAAGAAACAAAAACCTAGGAGGGAAAAAAAGTGGAGAAAAGTGCAAAAATAAGTCTTGCACTTAGTGGTTTTAAAAATAAAGACAGTACAACACCCAGGTGGCCGGCTGTCAGGTCCCCATCCCCTTGTGCAGCCGCTTCTCAAAACCCGGCCTCCTTCCTCTCAGAAGCCAGAAATGTCCTCCTTGAGCCCAAGGATTGCTTCTCCTTGGCCCACTCCCCTCTCGAGATCCCCCCTGCACGGCAGCCCTCTCGGGAAGGGGCTGAGCAGAGGGAGAGGGGTGGCCGTGGGCCAACTTGAGGGCGACTTGGCGGCGGCCTGGTGGCCCTGTGGCTGCCAACACGCTGGGTGGTGGGAGAGCAGAGGTCAGGCCCATCTCCCCCAGGGGAGGCTGACCCTGCGGTTACCGTGGAGACCAATGAGGTGGGGGGGAGGGGGGAGGAGACAGGAGGTAGACCACACGAGGCCTCCTGGGCCTCCCGTCCTCCCGTGTGTGTGTGTGTGTGTGTGTGTGTGTGTGTGTGTGTGTGTGTGTGAGTGAATGTCTCCAGGCCTGGCTGTCCAGGCCTGGCTGTCTGAGAACTTTCGAGTCTCTTCCGTCCCAGATGCCCTGCTTTGCCCAGGTGGGTAAGGAAGCTCTGGAGGAAGGAGGCTCGGTCCTGGCTAGGCCTCCCTTGGTCACCGGGCAGCGGTGTGGAAAGGACGGATGTCCTCTCACTGTGAGAGTGAGGCATGGGTCAAAGGGGGATGTGAAGAGGCCTTCTGTTGGGGGGGAGGCAATACCGAGTCTTGAGGCCACTGAAAACCGGGAGCCTAAGGCCTCCAGGCGAATAAACAGTAGCCATCAGGCAGCCTGGACTCAAGAAGGTCCCTGCTCAGGCCCCCAGCTGGTGGTGTTGCCCATCTGCCTTCCCTCCTGCCTGCCCCAGGGATGCTCCATCTTCCTCGATGACTCCCTTTCCGGGCCAGGCCTCCCTCCTGGGAGGTTACTCTCATCCGTCACGAAGGACCAGCATCCTTTGGGGAGTGGCCAGCCGACCAGTCACCCTCTGCAAAAACGCTGGCCTCACAGGCCCCAGGGAGGCAGCCTCAATGGCAGAAGCCTGAAGACGCTGGTGGGGTTAAACCAGGCCATCCTTCCCCCCCGCCTCGTGGCCGACAGCAAAGGGCCGAAGTCAGGGACAGATGCCCTCCAGAGTCCAGTAAACAGCAGGGGAAAGAGACAGCTCCTCTCAAGAACCAGGTCCAGGTCTTGGGAGGGGTGTGGGGAGGGGTATGCAATTCCTGGCTCAGTCTTTTCTTAGGGGGAATGGCACCCCAGTATCCATTCGGCAGATCCCAGTTAGAAGACTGCTCAAGGTCCACAAAAAGAAAGGGCAAACGGGAGAGTGGCTTGGGAAAAGTTTACAATACTGGCCTAAGACACAGAAACAATGAGTTGGGGTTTGGGGACAGTTGTGCAGAGAGATGGGGCGCACCGACGCGGCAGGTCAAGTAAGTCCTCGCGGCTGCCATCCTCATAGGGCCCTTTGTCCTATGACAATCGACCATCTTTCCTGTCCCAGCCAATTGTCCTGTTGGGGGACAGGAGACCCCCCCCCCCACATCGAGTTCCACAGCTTCAAGTTTCCCACCAGCCGAAATCTATCTGCTTCTCTGCTTCCCTCTTCATTGCCCCAAGTTCGGTGTCGGGGTGGCCTCCATGGTGTCACGTCATCAGGAGAGAGTGGAGAGGGCAGCGTTCGCAGCAAGAAGGGGTCTCCTTTGCCAGGGTCCAAGCTCCCTTTCCTGGCAGGTCATCTCCAGCCTCAGAGGACAGCCCCACGGCTGCCAATTTGTGGAGGAAGTCAGCAGGAATGGGTATTTTCTTGTTTCAGAATCTGGCTGCCAACGGCAGCCCCCTCACAGCATCCATTTCCTGGTCGTCCTGGGCTTTTCTTCCATCCTCCACGCCAGGGACACGGCCTGCACAGGCCCGTGCAGGGCTTGAAAGACTCTGGCCTCAGTCCCTCATTGAGGGTTGAAGGTGGCCACCTGAGTGCATGGTCTTGTCCCTTCAAAACCACGGCCAATCTCTCTCTGCTGTTCCTTGCTCCTGTCCAGAGGTGAGGGTCTAGGACCCCCCTCAAGTTGCCCACCTTTCCTGGCTCTCAGGCCTCGATTAAGCTCATTGCTTTCTGGGAAACTGTACCCCCATTTTTCTCTTTCTTTCCTCTTGAATCCCAAAAGGCATAGAGGGTGGGAAGCCGGGGAAGTTTCTCTCGGCTTTGTCCCCGCTTTCTGTTGCTTTGCTCCAAAGCTGGAACAGAGCAGTCCCCCTCCCCCACCACCTCCCTCCCTCCAGCCCCAGCCCTCCATACTCCTTCTACTGCGGCTGCGCAATGCAATCACTTTTATTGTTCCTGTATTGAAACTGGTTCGCTTCCATCCTGCTTGCTGCCATCAAGTCCCCTCAGTGTCTCTCCTGCTCTGCCAGCGTGAAGGCCCAGAGAGGCTTTCAAAATGCAGGCTCTGCCCGGATGAAACGAAAAGCCTGGGCAGAACCAGTGGGTTAAACTTGGACTTGGCGTGCTCCAGTGGTGCAGGGCCCGAGCCGGTTAGTTAGTTCCAGAGGGTCTAAAGGATGCACTAAGGGCACGGGGAGGGGGCAGGGGGCAGGGGCAGACAGCCCTCATCTACCTGGCTTGGTGGTGCCGACGGACACACGCACAGAGGAAATCGTTTAAAAAATCCAACACCGTGGCCCACCAAGGGTTGAGTTTGCCGCTTGAGGGAGGCTGGCAAAACTAGAGTTAAGGGTTGTGTTGGAAGAATATGGGTTTTCTTGGTTTTTCTCCCCAAATGAGGACGTTCCTCAGTGCCCCCCCCCCCCCCCCCCCCCCCCCGGTAGGAACTACTTTGAAAAGTTAATGCAAAACTTTGAAAGAAAGGAAGAAGGAAAAAATAGAAAGAAAATAGATTTATATGCCTTATATACGACTACATGGAGCCTCATAGATAAATACGAGGCCACCTTGTTTTCATCCTCCCCCCACAGAGGCCGTGCTAATAGTGAATTGAGTGCAATGAGCAGCCGAAACCACGGTGGTGCGTGTCGGCCTGATCTAGTCAACCTGGAGAAGCAAGTCTCTCCACTCTGGGGGTGTGTACTGGGTTCTAAAAGGCTGCACGGGGAGTGAAAGATGTACACAAACTTAGTCTTTGTGTATCTGCTTAGGAAAATCTATCTATCTAGTAGCACTCGGTTATTCATTTGTTTTGTTTTGAGAAGAATGGAATGCATTTTTGTTTTTAGAAGTTTTGGGGAGGGAGAACCCTCTGCTGCGTGAGCGGGGAGGAGGGGCGGGTTCGAGCCATGCAGCTTGCTGGCTGGAGGTGGAGAAAGATCCAGGAGAGGCACTGACCCCTTCTGTCTTTCCCTTTCTCCCCCTGCACGACCAATCCAGTCGGGAAAGCCCCCAAGGGTGTCATGGAATGCCACACCTTGGGCCATACCTTCTAGTGCCCAAACGTCTCCCATCTCCCAACTCAGGCCAGGGCCGGACACGACAGGTGGGTCCGGTCACGGTCCCGGTGATCTTTCCTTCCTGCCCACATTCTTCTTTCCTTTTTCGAAACTCCGTTTATCTCCCCCTCTCTTCTACACGTGCACTTTCTTCCCTTCTCTCTCGTGCTCCTCCTCCCTTCCCCTCCCTGTCCATTCAACTTGCTTCAAAAAGAAAACCGTTTTCAAGGGAGGGGCGGGTTTCCTTAGCTTTTTGCATCTTGCTGTTGCCGGTTTGAAAGTTGAGACCTTGCTAGAGATTCCGAGGTCCTCAGTTTCCTCAAATAGATAGATATATGTATTTCCCCTTAAATGAGATGAAATGAGTGGCGTCCTGGGGTGGAGGGAGGTGTTGGCTGGAGTCGGGGCTGGGGGTGGGATGGGGCGAGGGAAGGATGGGGAGGGGACGCATCACTCAATGTTGCTGCTGTCGAAGGTGTGGCACTGAAAGTCCCCATCAACATACTCCATGCCTGGCAGCTTCATCCCATACTTGTCCACGCACCAGCAGATGCCACGTTTGCGGCCACGGGAAGGCTTGCACTGGGGTGGGGAGAGTGACAGGCAGTGAGGGTGGCTGTCCCCCGAGGCTCTGCTCCTGTCTGGCCCTTGTTCTGGCCCTTGTCTTCCCTGCCCCCAGACAGATTCTTAACCCTGATCTCAACACGGGGTTCTGCTAAGCCCCCTGCACCGGGATGGCCCCAGGGAAAATGCTAATTTAGACAGTCTGCCCTTGATTAGCTCTTACAACCTCTTTTTTTCTGTCACCCGTTCAGGGTCCTCCTCTTGGTGTTCTCCCTGTGGCTACATGATGATGATGGTGAGGGTGGGGGTGGGGGTGATGGTAGAGGGCATCACTTGCGCAGCTTTGTCACGTACCCGACACTACTTAACACTTACTACATGGTCCATACTGTTGTAAGGGCTTTACAAAGAAAAGTCCACTATCGCTCATAACTCTAAGGACAATGGGTACAATGATCCTTTTGCATGAGAAACTGGAGGCAGAGACACTAAATAACTAGGTAAGGAGGACACAGCTCCTAAGTGGGAGAGCCAAGAGTTGACCCAAGGCCACCTCGCTTTTGACCTCCAACTTAGATGGAGGTTACCCTTAGGGGGCGTCAGTGTCACCTAGGAGGGAACTTGTTAGAAATGCAAAATTCTCAGAGCCCATCCCAGAAACTCTGGTCAGCAGTTGGTGTTGTATAAGCCACCCCTTCATTCGTCATTCGGACACCCCAGGAGTGTGAGAACCACTGGCCTAAGGGAATGGGTACCACTTGAATAGGCTAAGTATTATCCGCTTAACCAACAGTAGTGTTGCCCAAAGGGCTGTGAATGGGACATAAATTATTTCGGGGGGTGACTGCTGAAAACATGTTCTGAAGTCATTATCTGTGTATATATGTATTTATGTGTGTGGTTATCAGAAAATAGGATGTACCACATGTGATATGACATGGTGATATAAAGTTTCCTCTTTAAATGAATTCATGGAAACACGGCGGATCATTAAAACTTGAGTAGATTATAGTACAGGAGAGAGTGGGAAGCATGATGATTGGGGAACGTGCATGGATACTGGAGGTTCTGGAAACACTATTGTTAATGACAGAATCTTAAGCATTTAGCGGTAAAAATTTCCTGGCAAGTGCCATTTCAGCAGCCCTCTGAACTGGGTGGGTGCAGGGATGGGGCGGGGACAGGGAGAGCGTACCTGCTTTCTCTTGTAGAATCCTTTGCGGTCACAGTTGGGCAGGTACACGGCCCGGGGCACCATGCGTGGGCTGGCTTTGAGCTCCTGCAGGGACGCCTCCATGTGTCTGCGGCAGGGGCCCTGTGTGGGGACGGCAGGGATGAGAGACATGGCTGGACCCAGACGGAAACTACCTGTATATGCAGAATGCGCGGCCAAGCGCATGGGGGCTGAGGGTCTGTTGAGAGTTTTGTTCCAATTAGTTGCTACCAAAGACCTTTCCTCCTCTGGGTGTAAAAAAGTGTGCGGAACCTGAGTGTGACCAGGCATGAAGGCGTGTTGTCCCACTTGCCTTCCGCAACACCCACCTTCAGCTTTTCCATTCTGCTCTGATTAAGTCCGGGGGTGGTTGTCGGATGCCCTAGGGGAGTGTGCAGCTTCTGCCCAGGTGAGGGCACAGCTCCTGGCGTGTGTTTGCTGCAACAGCCTGGCACCTTCCTCGAATGAGCACCGCCACTACTGCTCACTCGATCAAGCCCTGAGTCCTGATAAACGCAGGCTCTGAAAATTCTTCTGGATCCCAAGCTGATCTAAGTGATAGGTCCCCCTGAGGTCCAGCCTAAGCATCTGCTGCCACACATGCTCACTCAGAAGCAGAGGAGAGTCAAAAGTCAGGGAGTGGCAGAGGTGGCCTAGTGCGGATGCCGATGTGGATGGGAAGAGAATCATTGAGACTCACCTGCTCAGATTCCTGTCTCATCTCAGGTGCAGAGATGACCCGGGGATGGGCAGTGTTCTCAGCGCCCCCCACAAACTTGGACTGGGTCAGCTTCTTTCTGCGGTCCTTCTTCACGGCCTCGGCCTTCAGCTCGGAGATGCGGGTGTGCTTGGGCCGGAAGATCTTGGGCGAGTAGGTCTCCTCTGCCATCTCGGAGGTGGTTGGTTCCTCGTGCTCATGGGAGTCTCTCTCTGCAGGGGAAGGAGGCAAAGGATCAGCGTCAGGGGTGAGATGCAGGTTGGGGGGCGGGCAGAAATAGGTGACAGCGCAGTGTGGATGGGAAAGGCCAAGTCTATCCTATGTGGGTGGGTCTTTGTGCCTCCAGGACTTTTGGAGCTGGGATGGATTCTGACTTGGGAAACTGGGATGGGAATAGGACAGTCCTCGGGGTCTAGGCTAGCAGGGTGGTGGTGGGGACCATCATCATGAAGAGGAGGGGACCTGAGAGAGCCAGACATGTGGGGCCTGGAAGCAAGCAGAGCTGGTGGCAGGGTGGGGGGACCTGGAACCCCGAGCTGGCTCTGTGCTCCGGGCCCTGGGAGGCAGGAACATAACTCAGCTCCAGGCCAAGAGAGGCTGACAGCTGGCTGGGGCTGGAGCAGTTATATATAGGAGAGACTTGGTGACAGTCTATACTTAGCTGACTTATGACCTTTAAAGAAGTAGGACTTTGTTCATTTATTTGTTGATCTGTTAATTCCACTGCCTGGCCTTGTCTCCACCCACAGACTTCCATTACATTCTTATCTCCTAGGCACCCTTCTCTGGGTCCCCGTTTCTCCTCACAGCTCTTGGACCCCACCAGCCTTTGCAGACCCAGAGTTGTTCTTCCCAGTTGGTCAGGGCGTGGCCAGGATGCCCATCGTGAGAGTAGGTGCAAGGTGGGGTGGATGGGGGCAGCGAGGCCCTGCCTTCAACGCCTCTTTTCTTTTTAGATTTTAGAAAGAGAAAATAGGGCTCTGGAGTGACCCTGAGTAACTCAAATGGGGAGAGGGAAAATCCAGTCCTCTGCCCACTCCACCACCTCTGGGCTCTCCAGGAGCCATGAAGGCAAGGCACTGGGCTGGGAAATAGAGGGAGAGGAATCCGGCGAGGTGGGGATGAGGGGATGCACAGGGAAGGAGAATCTTGGAGGGAAGACACTGTTTTGTGTCCCCGGGGCAGAGGCTCTCTTCCCAGGGGGAGTTCCAGGTGTGGGGTGAGGAAGGCGTTTGGGGACCCGGCCTAACCCGGTCAGGATGGCAGGTGGCAGGAAGCACCTGGGCACCTGTTTGTCTCTTGGCTTGGGATTTGTCAAACTTAATTGACTAGGTATCCGGTCTTTAAGGCCCTGGCAGGGAAGTTCCCCGCCCCGGAGAAGCCGCCACAGGTTTGCAGTGTTTTGGGTGGTTCGCTGACTTGGGTATTTATCCATAGTGAGGAAGAGAAGTAGTCACTAGAGAAGATGACGGCGAGAGAGCAAACAGCAGTGCAACGGGCAGGCTTTCTCTGAGCAGGGCATTCAGTGCCAGCTCCCCACTCCCCATTTTTGGTCTTTCCCTCCCTCTTCCCACCTCATCTTGACTCAGTGCTCTGACTCTATCAAACCTGTCGTGATGGTTAACTGGCGTGGTGCTGTGCCTGATAGATGGAGGCTCGCCTTCTAGGGTTGGCTCAAGGAGTGGGGTTTGGAGCAAATCAACTTTTCTCAGTTGTAGGACAAGCTAAGATGGGGTGAGGTGCAGGGAGGAGCAGAGCTGGCTTGGGGGAACTCTGCACAAACTGAAAGGCTAGGGCTCTGTTGTCTAGTAACTTAGACCCAACCGGAGGCTCAGGTCATGGAGGGGGGTGTGGGGGAAGGAAATGCCAGCCGTGGCACAGAAGTGTTGCTGAGCTTATCTTGCTGGGTGATCTGAGGCACTTCACTCGACCTCTCTGGGAACAACCAAGCATTCGGACTTCATAAAGCAGCTGACCACTGAGGTAGGAGAGAGGGCAAGAGAGGGTTGCCATTGAAAGGCTGGGGAGCATTCTGGGGTGCATGGACACACCCCTTCCCTAATCAAGAGTATGACCACATAAAGTGAGGGAGGGGTGGGCCAGGTGCTGACCAGCACACGGCAGAGGGCTGAGTGTCTCCTTTAGAGGCTGCTCCAGCCTGGGCCACAGGGCCAGCAAATTGTCCTCAGGGGCACCTGCGGGGCTGGGCTCCAGGAGTCCTCTCCTTCAGGAGAGAGATCCCAGGAAGCCGCTTACCTCCAGGTGCTGGCTGTTACCAGCTCCTGGAATCCTTCTAATAGGCTGTCAGGTCCACCTCCCCATGTCCAAGCAGGAACAAGTACGTACATGTATCTCAGGGGGCTCTTTTTGGTTCCTGAAGACATCTGGGGTGGGAGTGCTACCCCTCCTCCTCTGGCCACCTGTTTTGCAGGGGCCCCTCTGTCCTTTTGGTCACAGGTTGTCCTCCTCCAGATCTGGTGTTCCTCCCACAGAGCCTCTCTCTCTGGCCTTGTGGGGAGGGCAGCTTGCTGGCTCCCGGCACGCCATGTATCGACAGCTTTCCTCAAGAATCTTCGCCTTTTAGGCCTTTTTCTAAGAAGTGCTATGGGTCGCCCTTACCCTTGACACACTCTTCCTGGGAGGAGGATAGCGCTGTTAACAGTGGTTCAATAAACTTGGGAGCAAATTTTCCTTGACCTCAGTCTTTTCTCTGTAAGTGTTCAGCATGGCCAAGGCACATGTTGATCCCGGAAAATGATGTCGATTCCGGTATGTTCTCAGAGGAACTCTAAACATTCCTGCAAGCCCCCTCTCCTTCTCCGGGCTCACCAAGGCGGGGGTCCCGAGGGCATACCCTCCCCCATTCGCAGGCTCTTTGGCTGCTTATGAACTTTATGTTTTGATGTGCCTCCTGGTTTTCGGTGCCACTTAACCCCATGGGACCTCTTACTTAGGCGGCAGGACAGTTGAGTATCAAAGATAGTAATCAGGGTCTTGTGGTCACCTGCAGCCTCCCAAGGCAGTGGAAACTTGGCACCAAGCCGGCGCAGAGCTACGAAGATTAAAAAGCTGGAAAGTAAGACCGGAGCTGGAATGCCAGAGCCAGCTAGCCCTACTCAGCGGCTTCCTGGCCAAGTCATAAATAGGCTTTCAATTTGGGAAGGGTTTAAGTTTTCAATGAGACAGGCAGGCGGCTGCTCCTGCACTTTTTCATCAAGAGAATATGGACCAAAGCTTCACAGGGGATTTAGGTGGGATGAAGGGGGGGACTTCCTGGTGACGATGCCCGGCAACTTCAAAGGGCAGGAGGGCTATGGAAGCTGGTCCACAAACAGGTCACTACCTCCACATGGCCAGTAGATGGCGGAGGAGACTGATGGCCAAACAACATGTTTTCAGTGCCTCTGTCTAAGGACTGTAAGCAATTTTAAAATCTGGGATTTGGGTGCTTTCCTTCCCTACTTCTGCGACAGCTACCAAAGTCCTCTCCTTCTCTCTGTGTGTCTGCACCATGCATTTGGGGAGTTAGGGGGATAGCCAGTCGAGGACTGGAAGAAAACTCACGTGTGGGGAAGGTGTGAGAGCGGGAGGCTTGCTGGAGGGCCAGGGACAATGCCGACCTGTGCATAGCCCTAGCCCTGTGCTGCTTCTCTAATTCTCACTTCTGCAGCTGAGAAGTGATCTGGGGCGGAAGAGAGACACATCCAGGGCCTCCCTTCCCATCTCTGGATGTCATTTTGAAAGGATTCTGCAGCAGATGGAAAATGCGGAATGTTTCGGTAGTTGTTCCCTCCTCCAAGGGATGGTGGAGGCAGGGCCCTTGGATTCCACAATCTCATCCAGCGACCGAGGAAGTGAGGGCTAGCACATCATCCTGATGGTTGCCTTTCAGGGGGGTTCTGAGTTGGGTCTGCCTTCCTAACACAGTCCTTCCAACCAGCTCCCGGAGGGCCCCAGCCCCCACCACGTCAGGGTGGCCAACTCCGGTCCTTTTCCATTCCTAAGGCACTCCCGGTTCAGAGCACTGCACCAGCACCCAGAGGCACAACACGGCTGTTCCTGCACCAACAGGAGGAGGAACGTGCCATTTTCATGGCCCAGCAAACACAGAGGGTGTCTGGCTATAGGCCCAGCTACTATGGACCCAAGGGCACCCTAGGGTAGGCAGCTCCACTCACAGCAAAGTGTCTGATGCACCACCGTGCTGTCTGTGGCCAAACTCTGGCTGCCTCTGCTCTCTCGCGGGGGCTGGATGCTCCTGCTGGTGAGTTCTGATTCCATCCTTTTCCCCAGCTCAGTGATGGGATGTCGGGAATCCGCTGCTCCCTGCAGTCTAACCCTCCATCCTGGGGCTCCCAGTCATGCCCCGGCACCGTTAACTCCATGCTCCTGGGCCGGCAGTAGATTCCTAGTCTATCTTAACCTCATAATCGAACTGAAGGAAATGGGCTGGCCCAGATATTGCAACTTTGCTTGTGGAAATTGAAGAAACCGAGTCGTATTCGGAATTCACAGCTCAGGAAGAATGTAGGTCTTTGCCAGGCCACCTGGACCTGGGGAAAGGAAAGTCTCTTTTTGTAGCCAGGAGACAAGACGGGTTTGCCCAGAATCTCTCTACAAGGAATGAAAAGGGGAGCTGGGTTTCCTCTGGCTTTCATTCTAACCCCTTCCGTGGAATTTAAACAGTCAATTTCTGAAGGGTAGAGCTTTGTCATTTATCTTTGTCTCTCCATTATATGGTATTCAGTAGATAATCTCTCAATAGAGAGAGGCACAGATCTCCCCAAGAGATAAAGAGAAGTGGGTCTAGAAGCATTTCTTTAACATAAACTCAGGCATGTCAGGGCTCTGTGGGTGCCTGGAGAGGTCACCTCACTCATGCCCCTGCCTTTAAGCATTGAAGCTGCTCTGGAGGGAGCCAAGGAGCCGAGGAATTAGTCTTAGAGGAACGAGAACAAGGAGGGATCCCTGGATTTACTGGGCTTCTTTGATCTAAGGTTGTGCTCTCCAACGTAGTACTCGCCAGCCACATGTGGCTACTTAAATGAATAAACCTTAAATCAAATGACAAATTCAGCACCTCCGTTTCTCCACCCACGTTTCAAGGACTCAGCAGCCACAGCGGTGAGGGGCTGTGTTGGACAGCGCACGTATAGAGCGTTCTCATCATCACAGACAGTTCTGGACAGCTGGTCCCCCTCCCAACCTTGCC